TATAACACCACTTGTATTCACAAAGTTTGAGGAGGTTGACTAATAAGAATTTAGTACTTCAAAAACTTCTCTTGATACGTTAGTTCCCTGTGGGATTTGACTCGGGGCATAATACCCCGGATTATATTTGCAACCCCCGCATAGTCTTTTAATAGGCTTAGTTGAGCGTGATAAAATTTTGGCGTCGTTGCCGGGGAGTTAACGGTATTATCAATTGCGATTGAAAGACGTACAAAAAAAATTCTTAGTGTAGTTAGTTTTCTCTACACCCAATTTTTACATTGAAATTTTTAACGTTTGTTGACTTGGTTGCACAGGTGCATGCCTACAAACTCATCGAGAACTGGTGAAGTATTTGAAGCATTTTCAGATACCGAGAAAGTTTTCAAGGCCTTGAACCGGGCCAACCGGAGAAATAGACAACAACAAACAACTGATCCAATCGAAACAGCAATGGGAGATCACAAAGAACACCCAACTGTACCAATAGCACCAATGGCACCTCTTGTGCCCGAGGCGGTTTTCTTTGATTGGGCACAACCCACAACTGAAAATTTGGCCACCTCAATTTTAGTCCCGCAGATACAAGCTGAATCATTCCAAATCACGAATAACATGTTGCATTTGTTGCAAAACAAGGGGCTATTTTCGGGGTCATAAGTCGAAGATCCTCAACAACACTTGAAAATTTTTCTGTCAATCTGTAAGACCCAAAGACAGCCCAATGTAACTCCAGAAGCAATCAAGTTGCTATTGTTCCCATTCTCAGTGACCGGAGCTGCCCATACCTGGTTAAACTCACTCCCCATAAATTCCATAACAACTTGGGAGGAGTTAGTCAGGCAATTCGNTATTGCATGAAACATGGGAGCATTTTAAAGGGATGCTGGTCATATTTCCTCACCATGTCATTCCAGATTTGATGTTGGGACAACGGTTCTACATAAGATTGTCAGACAGCGTGAAGAACATAGTTGATGGTTCAGCGGGTGGAGCATTCTTGAGTAAAACATGGAGAGAAGGTCAATGTCTGCTTGACAAGATGGCGCAGAATTCAGGATGGATAACCAAAAATGCACCTATCACTCCAGTGGTGCACTCAGTGCCTTTAGATCCATCCAATTCAATGGCTGAAAATATGGCCACTTTATTGACACAAATGAGCATACTCACCAAAAGGGTGAAGAGTCAGGGCAAAAACAGCAGGTACATATTGTAGATACTACTAATGGGGGCTTGTGCACATCTTGCATTAGTCAGCCAATTGGTAATCAGTGGCCTGCAGGACACGATCATCAGCACTACCCTAAAGATATGAACTATGTGTCTAATTATGGAGGCCAGAGACAGGGTGGTCAGAATTGGAGTCAGCAAAATCAGCAATACAGGCCAGCCCAATCACAGTTCAACAGTGGAAACATGGGAGGTATGAAACCCCCCAACAATATAGCACCTTACCCAAGGCCACAAGGATACAGTAATCAGAATCAACAACAGGGGTATCACCCTCCTCAGCAGTAGTACATTGGAAGGCAGGAAGAAGTGTTTGCTAGACTTGAAGCAATGATGCAACAGATCATTGGGTCTAATGCAAAGATTAGTGAGAGAGTAGATGCACATGACTCGGCGATCAAGAATATTGAAATGCAAATGGGCCAAATTTTGATGTCTCTAAACAGTCGCACTCATGGAACACTACCCGCAGATACCCAGGTAAATCCAAAAGATCAAGTCCCGAAGCAGTTGATGGCGGTGAGCTTACGTAATGGCAGAGATTTGGATGTAGAGCAAGAAAGGGCTCGAGAAGCCAGGGAAGTTGAGACACTTATATCAGTGCCTATAGAGTTGGATAAATAAACGAAACTAACAGAAGTGACAGCCCAGCCTGCCCAGGAAGAAGGTAGCATTCAAATTGAGATTGAGAAAGAAGCTGAAATAGCATAGGAACCAGTGGTTGATGTAGCGGCTGATAAAGATCGATCCCAAATGATTGGGAAGAAGAGACCTCCTGCACCCTTCCCTCAAAGGCTATCTAAGTACCAAAAAGAGGAGCAATACAAGAAGTTCTTGGAAATGCTAAAACAAATCCAGGTAAACATTCCCTTAATTGATGCTTTGAAAGAGATGCCTGGGTATGCAAAAATGATGAAGGACTTAATGTCCCGAAAATTTGATTTCCAAGACTTAGCCACAGTTACTCTCACCCAGACCTGTAGTGTAGTGGTGACTAGACCAATTGTGAAAAAGCTATCTGACCCAGGGAGCTTTACAATCCCATGCACTATTGGTGATTTTGCCTTTGCTAAAGCACTGTGTGATCTAGGGGCCAGCATTAATCTTATACCCCTGGCAAATTATAAAAAGCTGGGTATTGGAAGAGCTAGACCCACCTCTATGTTGTTGCAGCTGGCTGACAGGACGGTAAAGCGACCCTCTGGTATTCTGGATGATGTGTTGATTCAGGTAGGGAAATTTGTGTTCCCTGCAGATTTTGTAATCTTAGATTGTAAAGTAGATGAAGAGATTCCCATAATTTTGGGAAGCCATTCCTGGCCACGGGGAGAGCTTTAATCGATTGTGAAACTGTGGAATTAAAGATGAGGTTGAACGATGAATAAATAACATTCAACGTGCAGAAATCTATGAGGCGACCAAGTGAATTCGCCAATTACTCTTTTATAGATGCCGTGGAGGTAATTGTAGAGATTGATGATGAACTGCTGACTAGTAAAGACCCCCTTGCTGCGTGTCTGATGAACTTTGATGAGGTAAAGGGAGAAGAACTGGTTGGATGGGTAATGGCATTAGAAGGTAGAGGGTTCTGGGATAGAACACTTGAATTTGAGCCCTTGCACTTGGAGAACAGAGAAGCTCCTCCAGCCAAGCCATCAATCGAAGAACCACCAAAGTTGGAGTTAAAGCCATTGCCAGCCCATCTCAGGTATGAGTTTCTTGGACCTAACTCCACATTAACTGTTATTATTTCATCTAGTTTGCTAGATGTGCAGACTCAACAACTCTTGCAGGTACTTAAGGAGTGCAAGACTGCTATTGGGTGGACCATGACAGACATAAAGGGAATCATCCCTGCATACTGTATGCATAAAATTCTGCTGGAAGAAGGACACAAACCTTCCATAGAACACCAAAGAAGGCTGAACCCCAATATGAAGGAAGTAGTGAAGAAAGAGGTGATCAAGTGGTTAGATGCGGGAATTATTTTCCCAATTTCTGACAGTAGCAGAGTAGCTGGGTTAGCCCAGTTCAATGTGTACCAAAAAAAGGTGGCATGGCGGTAGTTAAGAATGATAACAACAAATTGATTCCTACAAGAACCATCACAGGATGAAGAATTTGTATGGATTATAGGAAGCTGAACTTGGCTACCCGGAAAGACCATTTCCCACTTCCTTTTATTGATCAGATGTTGGATAGATTGGCAGGAAGGTCACACTTCTGTTTTCTCAACGGATACTCGGGGTACAACCAGATTTCTATTGCCCCGTAGGATAGGGAAAAGACTTCATTCACTTGCCTTACGGAGTGTTTGCCTTTAGGAGAATGCCATTTGGCCTTTGTAACGCACCTGCAATATTCCAACGATGCATGATGGCCATTTTTACAGACATAGTGGAGGACATTATGGAGGTCTTCATGGACGATTTCTCAGTGGTGGGAAATTCGTTTGATGAATGCCTAGCAAATTTAACTCGTGTTCTAAAAAGGTGCATCGAAATGAATCTAGTGCTAAATTGGGAGAAGTGCCATTTTATGGTACAAGAAGGAATTGTCTTGGGGCACTTAGTGTTGAGTAAAGGGATTGAGGTGGACAGAGCCAAAGTCGACGTGATAGAAAAACTTCCACCTCCAACATCAGTCAAGGCTATTCGTAGCTTCCTGGGACATGCCGGCTTCTACCGGCGATTCATCAAGGATTTTTCCAAGATCGCAAATCTCCTCTGTAAGTTGCTCGAAAAAGATAACCCATTTGTGTTTTTTGATGATTGAGGGTTAGCTTTTGAGGAACTGAAGAAGTAGCTAGTCACAACACCGATTGTAGCTGCTCCCGACTGGGAGCAACCGTTTGAACTCATGTGTGATGCTAGTGACTACGCTGTGGGAGCCGTGTTGGGACAACGCAAGGATAAGGTAATGCACCCTATTTACCACGCAAGTAGGACATTGAGTGGTGCTCAGCTGAATTACATGGTAACTGAAAAAGAAATGTTGGCTGTTGTGTTCGCCTATGATAAGTTCAGGTCTTACTTGATCGGGTCGAAGGTGATAGTGTACACAGATCACGTAGCTATTAGGTATTTGGTTGATAAAAAAGAGTCTAAGCCACGCCTAATTCGTTGGGTGCTGCTTTTGCAAGAGTTTGACTTGGAGATTCGTGACCGTAAGGGAACGGAGAACCAAGTCGCTGATCATTTGTCGCGCCTTGAAGATGCTGAAAATGCAATTGAGTCTGAGGATATTCTGGAAACTTTTCCAGATGAGCAGCTGCTAGCCACAAGTATGGAAGATGTGCCATAGTACGCTAATATTGCAAACTATTTGGCATGCGGCATTGAACCATATGAACTCTCCTATGTTCAAAAGAAACGATTTTATCGTGATTGTCGAAACTATTACTGGGATGAACTACATGTGTTTAAAATTTGCATTGATAACATGATCCGGAGATGCGTCCTCGAGATAGAACAATGTTCTGTTTTGTAGGCTTGTCACGCATCACCTTATGGAGGACATTTTGGAGGAGTTCGGACAGTAGCAAAGGTGTTAGAGGCAGGGTTCTACTGGCCAACAATCTTTAAGGATACTCTCAAATGGGTAAAGGGCTATAATGAATGCCAAAGAACGGGAAACATATCCCGTAGACATGAGATGCCCATGAATCCAATTCAGCAAGTTGAGGTGTTCGGCGTTTGGAGAATTGATTTCATGGGTCCCTTCGTCAGTTCTTATGGCAATAGTACATACTTGTTGCGGTGGATTATGTATCCAAATGGGTGGAAGCTGCATCACTCCCCACCAATGATTCGAGAGTGGTGGTCGGATTCTTGAAGAAGAATATATTCACCCGATTCGGG